AAAATGGCGGAAAGTATTCTTTAACTGTATGTTTTAAAAAAGTAAAATTACAAGTATAATTGCTGCTAAAAATTTTCTAACCCCGTTCTAAAAAAGTGAATTGTTTGCAACCTTGCATTTAAAAATTGCCATTAAAATTGTTCTAACCTCTCATGCTTTTAAAGAGTGAAATTGCAAGAATAATTGATTCTAAAATTTTCTAACCCCCATGTTGTAAAAGATGTGAATTGTTTGCAACCACCCAATTAAAAATTGCCATTAAAATTGTTCTTACCTCTCATGCTTTGAAAGAATAAAATTGCAAGAATAACTGATTCTAAAATGGTTCTAACCCCGATGTTGTAAAAAAATGTGAATTGTTTTCAACTTCACATTTAATATTGACATTAAAATTGTTTTAATCTCTCAAGTTCTAAAAGTGGTAGAAAAATGGCGGAAAATTTTCTTAACTGTATGTTTTAAAAAGTAAACTTACAAGTATATTTGCTGCTAAAATTGTTCTAACCCCCCATCATCTAAAAAAGTGAATTTTTTGCAACCTTTCATTTAAAAATTGCCATTAAAATTGTTCTAACCTCTCATGCTTTGAAAGAATAAAATTGCAAGGATAACTGATTCTAAAATGGTTCTAACCCCGATGTTGTAAAAAATGTGAATTGTTCTCAACTTCGCAATTAATATTGACATTGAAATTGTTTTAATCTCTCAAGTTCTAAAAGTGGTAGAAAAATGGCGGAAAATTTTCTTAACTGTATGTTTTAAAAAGTAAACTTACAATTATATTTGCTGCTAAAATTGTTCTAACCCCCCATGATCTAAAAGGTGAATTTTTTGCAAATTCGCATTTAAAATTTGTCATTAAATATCTTCGTTACGCCACATTTTAAAATGTTGCAGAAAAAATGGCGGAAATTGTTTCTGATTGCATGTAACGGGAGTAATTGTTGCTAAAACTCATGTTTTAAGAATAAAATTGCAAGAATAATTGTTTAAAAATGTGAATTGTTTGCAACCTCGCATTTAAAAATTGAGATTAAATTTGTTCCATCCCCCATGTTCTAAAAAAAGTGACCTGTTTGCAAATTTTTATTTAAAACTGTTCTAGCCTCTCGTTTTAAAAGGTAGTAGATAAAATGGCGGAAATTGTTCCTAACCCCATGTTTTAAGAGTAAAATTACAAGAATAAATGCTTCTAAAATTTTTCTAAACCCCCGTGTAAAAAGAATTGTTGGCAACCTTGCATTTAAAACCCCCATGTTCTAAAAAAAAGAGTGAATTGCAACACAATGTTTAAAATAGGCAAACTTTATTTTAAGTTGATGATAATTGCAAGAGGAATAATAAACGAGCAGATTTGATAATTTATTTTCTGTGGCATTTATTCACAATTTCTTCATTAATAGAAGCTAAACAATACATATTACAATTTGTTACAAGTGTACAAACTTTATTTTAAGTTGATAATTGCAAGAGGAATAATAAATGAGCAGATCTGATTATTCTCTGTGGCATTTATTTACCATTTAGAAATATTAAATGAAGAAAAATGTAGGTTACTTTGTACATGTTAAACAATGTAATGTTATTACAAGCATAAGGACATGTTCATCATGATTGCTATTAAAACTCTACTTTGAAGAGACAAAGGTACTTGATGTGATTGGACTAATTACTGCTACACGAAATAGACAGGTTCTAACTGTTATGCTAATATATTATTGT